CAGAAGATAGTTGGAGCAAGCATAAGTCAAATTCTTGCTTTAACACTATGACTGCATATCAATACTAAAAACAAATCCCATGAAAGGCTTTTTTCTTGAAGAGAGGAACCTAGATAGGGACATGACTTGATTATAAGAGGAAATGAAATAAGGAAGAGCAAAGGGTGATGGGACATGTTTTAAATGGCAAACTTAACCAACCCAGGCAGGCCTGCCAGCTTTGTAAGGCACACACTAGCAGAAGCAGCCAACCAACCACTTACCCAGGGACCACCAGCTACTTAGCAGGAGATCCAGAGGGCTGGCAGGTCTTTGTTCTGGTTACAAGAAGTGACACAAATTAACCTCATCCACTTGTCCTCCCACACCCAGAAAGGAAAATAGCTGAGCTGAGGTGACAGAGTAAAACAGGGATAAATGCCAAGTGTCTGTGTCTGAATCTTAAACGGAGAAGATTCAAGAGGGCAGACACTCCCTTGATTCATCAAATTTTTGTGCAGGGTCATCCAGTTTTTGTTGTTGTTAGGTGCCGTCAAGTCGCTTCCAAGTCATAGCGACCCCATGTACAACAGAACGAAACACTGCCCGGCCCTGCGCCATCCTCACAATCGTTGTTATGTTTGAGCCCATTGTTGCAGCCACTGTGTCAATCCATCTTGTCAAGGGTCTTTCTCCTTTTTGCTGACCCTCTACCAACCATGATGTCCTTCTCCAGGGACTGGTCCCTCATGATAACATCATAAGGGGTATCCTAAGGGGATTATTCTTAATATGCACTTAGATAATGATGTGTAGCAGAGGAATTCATAGAAATGTTTCATTTATTCATTCAACGAATAATTTTTGAGAACCTTCTGTGCTAGGAAACAACTGTGAACCAGATACACCAGACAGGACTCTGCTCTCTAGCTTATAATCAAGTGAACAGGCCATTCCCTGAGAGCTCTGAGATGGGACTTGCAGGCAACTCTGGGAGCCTATAGGAGTGGTACATGATCCAGATTTGTGGGAGTGAGAGATTTTTTAGAGAAAGTAACGCCTAAGACTAGAAAACTAAGGAGGTGAGTTTCTCTGTTTTATCCCAAAATACCTTATTTGAAGGTCAAAAGAAAAGAAATGGTGTTAATCCTTATTTGGGTGTGTCCATGGGCCCTTCATTTCTCTTTTCTAGATTCCCATCACCAGTGCAGGCTCCCTGTTCTGGTTCCACGTGGCATTATTCTATGCAGTTTTTTCCCAGTACCTTCCAGGATTCATTTTTCGTTCCTACAGTACTTTCTGGGCTGTATAATGGATCTCTGTGTGTCAGGTTTCACCTCTTTGTCCCCACTGTCCATTGATATGAACGTGTTCCAGTTATGTATTGCTGCTAAACAAATTACCCTAAAACAACAATAACATATTATTTCTCCTGATTGTGTGGGTTTGATGGGAAGTTCCTTTACTGGTTTCACCTGGGCTCATTCATACGGTTGCTGGAGGGTCAGCAGGGCTGGAAGGTCCAAGATGGCCACATTGCCATGTTGGCCACTGGTGTTGGCCAGTGTTGGCCATTGCTGGGCACCTTGGCTCTCCTCCACTTGGCCTCTTCTTCTCCAGTAGGCTAGGCCTGCTTCCTTACATTGCAGTCTCAGGATAGTATTTCAAGAAGGTGAAGGCAAAAGTGAAAGGCCTTTTAAACCTAGCCTTAGAGGTAACATTATGTCACTTCGGCATTGTTAGTCAAAGCACATCACAGAGCGATCCCAGGTTCAAGGGAAGAGGAAATCATTCAACCTTCTGATGGAGGAAAAACTGAAGTCACATTGCAGAGAAGCATGAGAGGAACTGTTGTGGCCATCTTTGAACATAATCTCCTGTAGAACATCTTTATGAGTCTGTTACTTGCATTGATGTATTTGCTGTGATTGTCCTTTCTACCTTCTAAGAAGGGACTGGCCAATATTATGTTAAATAGAATTTTAATGCTTATATTAACTCAGGGAGCCCTGGTGGCGCAGTGGTTAAGAGCTTGGCTGCTAACCAAAAGGTCAGCGGTTTGAATCCATCAGCTGTTCCTTGGAAACCCTATGGGGCAGTTCTACTGTGTCCTATAGGGTTGCTATGAGTAGGAGTCGACTTGAAAGCAACGAGTTTGGTTATTTTTTTTTGGTACCAACTCAGATGTTACTAATCCCAGGAAAGCAGCCTAGTAGCTATTTCTAAGGATGAATCAAAGCACAGAAGAGGATTGAATTGGGAAAAGGTCAATTTAAGAAGGTTTTTAAATGAGTTCTGTTACATGCTGAATTAGAACTTTTTTAATGAGTTCTGTTACATGCTGAATAGCTTTATGAATACTCTTAGTAATAAAAGCATATGTTTATATACTTGTAATGTTCAAAATTTTTTCCCAAAGATTTTTCACGGTAACAGCAATCCAGCGAAGGAAGTAGAATAGGTATTCTCTTCCTCATTTAATATAAGTCTGGGAGACACTGAAGCAGTGAGAAATTACATAACTAGTTTGTGGCAGAGCTTTTTTTGGGTCACAGGTTGCCTACTTCTGCATTCTGTACCCTCTCCATGGCTTTGAAGAAGTAGAACTCATGAGACTCTGCTGGGAAGAGTGGAGGGAGGTGGAAGGAGTCCTCATTTTAATCAGTTTATAGCTATTAGGCATAAATTCATCATGCCCTGATGTAGGCACCATGATTAGTTAAGTAGTGGTAACACTTCGTATATACATTTTCTTTTTTGCGTGGTACAGCCGTTTCACTGACACATTTGAGTCTCACAACCACTGGGTGAGGATACCATTATACTCTTGAGAAAAATAAGGTTTAAAAAAAGAAAAGCAGCTTGCTTTGCATCTCACAGTCACTAAGTGAACCATCTGGAATAAACATTAATCTTCTAATTTCTAGTCTAATGTTCTTCCCAAAGCAGGGTTGGGCTGTAAATCTGAAAGCACTGAGAATGAACATCATATGGTGGACAGTTATGTAGATGTCTCTGTAAATATCAAGTCTCAAATGAAATGCCTTATGAACAGATATAAAGTGCTTGTGAACATGACCTTGGGCAAGTTTCTTCACCACTATATTGAATGCTGTCAATTCACGTTTTCTCACTTGAATGAAAACTATATTTTTCTCTTGTGGATGTTGAAGGAGCTGGATTACAATGATTTCCAAGGTTTTTTCCTTCTCTAAGCATTTACTGTTTCAATTTATATTGCATATTATGGTTCGTTTGAGAGGAAATGAAGTTTTTAAAAGAGAGGGCTAAACTTTCATATGGGAGACAAACTTATCAGGAATAGTTTTAAAGAGGAAGATGACACAATGGCTCTGGCATTTATGAGGTCCAGTTTTTCATTTAAAAAAATTTTATGGACAAACATGCTCTCTACTCTGTTGGAGCTTACAACTGAGTAGGGATGGTAGTTCTTTAATCTGATGATCACACGAACTCTGATGCATGCCTCAAAGGAAATGTACAGGGAGCAGTGAGATGGCCTAATCAGTAGAGACCTGACAAGAACTGAGATGCAACAGGTAAGCAGTTAAGTAGGCATAAGGAGTGGAAGGGTGGCAGGGAGGGATGGGGAGAGCATTCCAGTTGAGTGGATGGCATATTCAAAGGCCCTGTGGTAGAAGGCATATAACTGAAAGAAGACCAGGGTGACTGGAGCACACAGAGGAAAAAGGTGAGAGTGGTCTAAACAGGGTAGGGGCCTGGATCATACATCTATTATACGCCATGTTAAGGATTTTGATCTTTATCCCCCAAAGCAATGAGAAGACACTGAAATGTGTTTTCAACAGGGCCTGGACTTAGAATGATTTTAAAAGGTCATTCTAATTGCTAGGTCTGAATTTAGGTACTTGAGGTTGGATTGAGGACGAGTGTAGATGCTTAGTATAGTCCAGTAAAGAAACCACTGTAGTTATCTAGATTAAAGGTATTGGTATTTTAGATTAAGGTATGCTGGTGCCAGAGATGGGAAGGACTGGATGTGGAAGATGGAGGTGTCAAGGACGATGTCTTCTGGCTGCAGGGTGGAAGCACTCACTAGAGCAGGACCAGGTTTGGGAGGAAGAATAAGAGTTTACTTTTGGGTTTGTTGAGTTTGAAGTGTTTTGAGATGTCCATGTGGATAGAAAGGTCTGGAGGTGGGTGGAGCAGAGGCCTGGTCAGAGGATATAAATTTGTGAATCTTTGGGTCATGGATGGCAAATGAAGCCATGGGTATGAAAGAACTCAACTGGGGGACTATAGAATGAGAAAAGAAGGGATTTGGGGACTGAATTTCAAGGAATTCTAGCATGTAAAGCCCAGGAAGGTGAGAAGGAACCAACCAAAAAAGTAGCTGAAAAGGAGGTCGACCAGAGGGACAGGAGGGAAACAGTACAGTGTGATGTCTCTCTAGCGGAGCAGAGTGGTCAATAGTCTCTAATGCTATTGATGTCAGCCAAAATGAGGACTCAAAAAATGCCCATTATATGGATGCAAGAGAGACTGTTCATGGCCCCAGTGGGAGCCATTTTGGAGGTTTGGTGAGGACAGAAGCCAGAGGAATTGAGGAACGTCTGGGAAGGCAGTTGTGAAGGAGATTGTAGAGGAGTGACTTCCATAGTCTACTTATTAGCTCAGTGATTTGGGAAATGGAATGATACCTTTAAAAGAAATACTAGCCCTTTTAGAAAGGTAGGGTGGGAACAAGTGGAGTGGAGTAAATTGTAATTCATTTTCAAGGTGGCAAAAATGTGTGATGTCTGCTAATGTAGAGTTTTGGATTGCATTTCTAGTTTGGTCTAACTTCTGGGAGAAAATACGTTCTATTCCAGACCTTCTTCTTGGAAATGACATTTGTAAAAGCACATGACAGCCACATTTCTCTGCCTGACAACTTTGCTGTGATACCTTGCAGAAGCCTATGCTGTAGGATTTCGGATGAGCTATTTTCTTTTTGTGTAGGCTTGTTTTATGTGTTTATTACCCTTTCTTTCTCCCAGGCTGATGAGCCCCGAAAACACACTTCTGCAGTCCAGGGAGGAGGAAGGAGTCAAGTACGAGCGTACCTTCATGGCATCTGAATTCCTGGATTGGCTGGTTCAGGAAGGTGAGGCCACCACAAGGCAGGAGGCAGAGCAGCTTTGCAACCGGCTTATGGAGCACGGCATCATACAGCATGGTAAGTGTATCGGTCAGCTTTTGCTGATGTAACAACCCCCAAATCTTGTAGCTTACAACAACACATGCTTATTTGTCCCTCATGGGTCTGTAAGTCAGCTGCAGATTTACCTGGGCTCAGCTTGGCTTGCCTCCAAGCTGGGGTCAAGTTCAAGTCTGTCCATGGTTTCTCATCCTGGGATACAGGCTAAAGGAACAGCCAGTCTCTAGGATATGTTGTTTTCACAGATGAGGGCAGAAGTTAAAGAGGGCAGGCAGATTTTTGGGGTGCCTCAAAAAGCTGCTCTGGTGTGGTGTAACATCACAACCTCCCATATCCAATTAGCCAAAGCAAGTCATACATCATCAATGGACTTGGCAAATATATGCCTCCCACAAGGTGGGAGAACGAAAATCTGATGAACCATAGGACAAGCTACTACCACAAAAAATCAGTCTAAAGAAGCTTCATAAAACTTGTACTTTCTTTATAGGGCTGAATTATCATGAAGCAATATAAACCTATTGGTTAAAAACTGTAAAAAAATTACTCCAAAACAGTGGTGTGAAAGAACAACAAATGTTTACTGTCTCACACGGTTTCAGTGGATCAGGAATTTGGGAGAGGCTTAGCTGGGCAATTCTGGTTTGGAGTCTCTCATGAGATTACAGTCAAGATATTGGTCTGGGCTGCAGAGTCAGAATCAACTTGATGGCAATGGATTTGTGAAGACTTGACAGGCTAGACCCTTCTAAGATGGGTCATTCACATGCCTAACAAGGTGCCAGCTGTGAGCAGGCAGCTTCAGTCCATCACCATAGGACTACTTGAGAGTCCTCATGACATGGAAGCTGGCTTCTCTCAGAATAAATGATCCAAGAGAGTGCAGGTATTGTATGGGTTACAAGGTTGGCCGTACTCAGTGTGGGAGGGGACTACAGAAGGGCATGAATACCAGGATGCAAGGATCATTGGAGCCATCTTGGAGGATGGCCATCACAGGCTATCACAAGAACATAGACTCTGGAATCTCAACTCCAACAGTTATTAGCTGTTTCTCTCTTTCGTCTGTGAATTGATGATAACCTTATAGGGTGCTTGAAGGTGTAAATAAGGTACATATAAAGCACTTGGCTCTGTGCCCTGCTCTTAGTAAGTGCTCAGTCACCTTATTAATATAGCTTCAAGGTGTAGGTAGGAACAGTGAGGAAAGGGCTGGGACTCAGGTAGGCATTTGTGTCTAAGAGTCAGTATGAAAGGTAATCCTTGAACCGTTCTTGCTTTCAGCTTCCCTCGTATCCAGGCCTAGGATTTCTAGCCCAAGGTTAGGAAGATAAGGATGGAATGAAAGAGATGAAAGAAACTTTAGAAATTAACTGGAGCAGTGTTTTCCAAACTGTGACCCTTTGGTGGGTCATGAAATGAATTTAGAGGGCCATTTCCAGCATTTAAAAAAAAATTTTAAACTAGATTCTGTTACCATTGAGAAGATGCCAGCTCATAGCAACTCTATAGTAGAACTACCCCATAGGGTTTCCAAGGCTATAAATTCTTTATGGAAGCAGACTGCCACATCTTTCTCCTGCAGAGTGGCTGGTGGATTCAAACCGCAAACCTTTCAGTTAGCCTACTGCTTAACTACTGCACCACCAGGGCTCCTTTAAATTAGACTAGACCCTTATTAAACACAGTGTAGTCCATGGACCTACCCGCACTGTCACCTAGGAGCGTGTTAGAAATGCAAAACCTCCAACCCTACTTAAGTCCTGTCAAATCCAGATCTACATTTTAACAAGATCCCCGAGTGATTTGAATGTACATTAAATTTTGAGAGGCACTAGACTAGATTAACTGGAAGAGAAAATATTAGAGCATACTTTATGTAGTAAGAGTATTATTTAGTAAAATGTTTGTCATGGATTGAATTGTGTCCCCCAAAAATATCTGTCAACTTGGCTGGGTCATGATTCCCAGTATTATATGATTGTGTACCATTTTGTGATCTGATGTGATTTCCTTATGTTCAATCACTATGACATAATAAGATGGATTAGTGGCAGTTATATTGATGAGGTATACAAGATTGGATAGCGTCTTAAGCTAATCTCTTTTGAGACATAAAAGAGAGAAGCGAACACAGACACATGGGAACCTCATACCACTAAGAAAGCAATGCCAGGAGCAGAGCACGTCCTTTGGACCTGAGTTTCCTCCACAGAGAAGCTCCCAAACCAAGGGAAGACTGATGACATGGACCTTCCTCCAGAGCCGACAGAGAAAGCATTCCCCTGGAGCTGATGCCCTGAATTTGGACTACTAGACTATGAGAGAATAAATTTCTCTTTGTTAAAGCCGTCCACTTGTGGTATTTCTGTTAGAGCAGTACTAGATGACTGAAGACAGTGTTTATTTCAGTTGTAAGTACAGTATATAAAGATATATACATATGCATGGGTGTGTCAGGTTGCAACATAAAACTGTTCTTACTACTGTGGATTCTGGTCATATATTTTGAAAGCCACTGATCCAGAGGCATTGGTTGGAGTGGCACTCAAGCCTCTTCAGTGTTTTACAAGGTGTGTTCAACTGTGCGGTGCTGCCACACTTGAACTCACGACTGTTTATTGATGACCCCATGTGTCTCGGGGGCTGGGCTAAGATCATAGAGGGTGGGGGGATGAATAGAAGAATATAGTGCCTGGTTTGGACCCTGGCCTTAAACAGCCTGTAGTCTTGTTGTAAGATACTACAGAAGCAATTAGAGAACAATAGCTGATGCATTGTATATTTTATTAACTTACATGACATGCCAGACACTGTTCTAGTCATTTTATACATATGAACTTATTTAATCCTCTTAAACACTATGAAGCAAGTATTCTTATTATCTCAATTTTACAGGTAAGGAAACTAAGGCACCAGTAGGTTAAGTAATGGGTCTGAGGCGCTCAGGTAGTAATGTTCAAATGGATTCTGCTAATAAGCGTGAAATTGGAGTTGATTGGAGTGACTAAGGTTTTCCACAGTGAGAAAGGCCCTGTTTGGGGTAGAGTTGGTTCTATTACTTTTGCTCCAGAGAAAGTCAGGTGAATCCAAGTTCAAGGAGAAAATCAGCCTTTATATGACAGTCTACTGACTCATACAGTACATTCCTGGACTTCAGAGAGAAGATTGACAATGATATGAATTGCTTCTAAATGATCTCCAAGGACTGAGTAATTAATTACACCCTAGTTATACTGTAATTTTGTAATACTATAAACATATATGCCATAAAAGTGTAATGTAAAGGATACATTAAAGGCATAAGCAAATCTTAACCACAGAAGGATGCTTTCCATGGTTTTAGGAGGATTGAATATTCTGTATATAGAAGCTATGGTTGTCAAGCGAATTCCAGTTTCCCAGCCCAGAAATTCATTGCTAGATCACAGGTTCTTATGTTGAGTAGCTTTAGGCCAACCTATCTGTGTACGTTAGAGTTAATGATAAATAACTTCAGTGTCCTTAGCAAATCTCTGAAAGGTCTTGTTAATATTTAATTTCATAGATTAAACATTAGAGAAATTCAGCCTTTAGGCTTTGAGCAGAAGGTTTCTGGATAAAAATGTTCCCTAAATTGAAAACAGTAGGTGTAAAAATCAGACCTGCTTATGAAATCCTAACCAGCTTCATTTATGAATGGTGAAGGATGGGCTATAATCAAGACAGAACTCGTTAGAGAATAGTTAACTTGCATGCATATTTATGTGTATGTGTGTAGGTGCGTGTATATGTGTGATTTATACAAATGTATGTATGTATGCTGATCACATATGTACATATTTATCTAGCTCTTTCATTTATTGAAGCTTACTGTGTACCAGACACTGGGCTAAATATTTTACAGGTTTTAATATATTGTGTATTTAATATGTACATAAGCTTCACATATATAATTTATATATTATATATATAATATCATTGAATCTTCACAGCAGTTCTATAACATAGGTATTACTACAGTTTTACAGTGAAGAAGCCTGAGGTTGAAAGCCTTTAAGATATTTTCCCAAGCTCACATAGGTATTGGATAGCTACTAGGCGTTGTGCTTTTGAAGGGTGTTTGCCTTGAGCTGGATGCATCTCATTGGGTTGTGGTTGTCTGCACAGTGGAATGAGCACAGAATTTGGAGGGAGACACGCTGGATTCAGATCCCAGCTCTTCTGTCTACTAAGCTGAGTGACCATGGCTGAGTCTCTTAACCCTCCCCTTCCCTCAGATTTTTACATTTATATGAGTCACATTATATACCTCAGAGAGTTTTTTTGGAGAGCCCATGACCGCTCACGTGTTTGGTGCTTTACTAGGGCTCAACATATAGCTGTACTCACGGCTCAGATTTGTTACAGTGAAAGGATACACAGCACGATTGGCAGGGGGAAAAGACATCAGGCGGAGTCTGGAGGAACCCAGGTACTAGCTTTTTATGTTCTTCCTTGCAGGAGGAGCCACATGGAACTCTCTCCTCCTTCTAGCGGCAAAGTGCAATAACGTGTGTGATTTTTCTGCCTAGGGAAGCTCTTGACTTGAGTCTCAGAATTCAAGGTTTTTATTGGGGGCTGGTCACACAGGGGAAACCCTGGTGGTGTAGTGGTTCAGTGCTACGGCTGCTAACCAAAAGGTCAGCATGTTCGAATCCACCAGGTGCTCCTTGGAAACTCTATGGGGCAGTTCTACTCTGCCCTATAGGGTCACTATGAGTTGGAATCGACTTGACGGCAGTGGGTTTGTTTTTTTTTTGTGGGTGCAGGGGGTGCGGTCACATGGGCACTCTCTCTGCCTGCTAGGCCAGCCAGGATATTCCAGACTCTTAGAAGGAAAGCAGGTGCTTTCCATAAATCAAACTGTACAAACAATCTAGGCAGACTGGTTCTGCAGAATTCAGCACCCCACGCGGGCAAAACAGCCTTATCAGTTAGTAACTAAGGAACATTCCAAAAGCCATGTTCCCAGATGCTAGCTGTGGGCCAGCCTCACG